GAGAGAGAGAGAGAGAGAGAGAGAGAGAGAGAGAGAGATGTGAGAGACACACATCGATTGGTTGCCTCCCACTTGCGCCCCAACCAGGGCTAGGGATCGAACCTGCAACGGAGGTACGTGCCCTTGGCTAGAATCGAATCAGGGACCCTTCAGTCCTCAGGGCCGATGGTCTAGCCATTGAGCCAAACTGGCCAGGGCTGTTAAGCATCTTAAAATGCACAGGACAACCCTCCACAACAAATAATTATTTGACCCAAATAATAGTGCTACTATTGAGAAACCCTGGTATAGTTGTATATTATATTGATATTGTTGGCTCTGAAGGCAGGTTATCTGAATTCCTTTGGCTTTACCATTTTCTAATGTGTTGCTAAAGTTTCTGTAAAATAGAGTTAATAATAGTATGTTCCTCATAGAGTTGTGGTGATGATTAAACCAGATAATGTGCAAAGTGTCAAGTGTTTTACCTGACACATAGAAAATGCTCAAAAACTGTTAAATTTCAACTAATATTAATACCTTTTGAATACATCTTGATGATTTCTCCTTATTTCTCAGCTGAAATTAGAATTTGAGCTAGTGAGAATTAATAACCTAGTTCTCATTGTATCCTTGGGTGAAGAATTAATAATGAGTGAAGAATTACTCCTTTTAATATTTGTGTTTAGGTCAGTCTTGTTCTATGTTCTCAAGTCTATAAGACTTCTGCCACAAAGAAGGAGCTTCTCGCCTGGCTGTTGTGGCTCAGCGGTTTAGCATCAACCTATGATCCAGGAGATCAAGATTCGATTCCTGGTCAGGGCACATGCTGGGGTTGCCAGCTCGATCCCCAGCAGGGGGCGTATAGGAGGCAGCTGATCAATGACTCACATCATTGATGTTTCTATTTCTCTCCCTCTCCCTTCCTCTCTTTGAAATCAATAAAAATATATTTAAAAAAAAAAAAAAAGAAGAAGCTATTGCTCATTGCCGATGTTTTTCCTTCATAGTTAAGACTAAGCCAGTTGGCCAACAGCTCTGTATCTGTTGATTCTCAGCAAATATTTAGTAATTTAACAGAATTCAATTCTGTGACTTGATTCCCATTTCTTTTTGCCTTTATAAAAGGAAATAAATTTACAGTGGTTTTGACTCACATTAATTATCTGTTCCTAGCCTTTGGGAGTAACTATTTTTGTGAGGTTTTCGTGCAGTTTTGCATGTACTAAGGGTATAGGGAAATATCTAACAACTTGAGGCTAGGCCTTCATATACATTTGAGACTCCTTTTCTAAATCTAAGTCGGAAACCATATATTTATCTTTTTTATAAACTCTCATTTTCTGTGTGTCTAAACAATAATGGCTGTTTAGGCTGGCTTGTTATAGTGATGTTTGTAATACAGCCTTTGTAAAGAGAAAAAAGTCACAGGGATGTTCTCACAGACGAAACAGAGACTTTGGACTGTTTGTTAATAGGCTACGGGGCTCTTGTAAGGGAAAGAGATCTACACCATATTTATGATTAAGGGAGAAAGCAGTGTTGTACATTCAACTTTTTGTCTTGATAACCCTACCATTTTATTATGGTTGTTACCCATATTTTTGTAATACAAGTCTCAATTATTTATATAAATGTTCACTCATTTTAGCTAATGGAAACCTTTGTTTACTCTCTATATTGGCACTGCTGCTTGTTTGAATAGAGTAGTTTGAAGGGAGTCAATACGTTTGGCCAAGAGATTGTGTTCTTTGTTTGGCACATTCCATCTTTTGTAAAGTGTAACATACACTCAGGATTCTGTATAAATAATAAATTACGATCTGGAAACTGTGGCCAGATCAGAAGTATACAGATGAGAAGTATAATAAAAAGCCAATGAATGTTAGGCAAACAGGAAAAAAAAAATCATGCTAATAAGAGTTCTTGTCTTTACTGTTATCCTTTTGGGGTTTAGTGATCTAGAAGAAAAGAGAATATAGATTATATAGGAATATAATAAATTTATTTTCTACCTAGACACTTTTTCAGTTCCTAAGCAGAGAACATTATAGCTACTAAATCATTACTATAGTTGAATTTGTGTGGAATTTGTCCCTACTCATGGTTAAATTGAGAAAAACAAGTATCTTTGAATCTGCTGATGTGTGTTTGTTTATAAGTGGTCTGGAGTCCTGCCTGTTAGCCTAATTTTAGGTTGCCTGCATAGTGGTTGGAATACAGACTATTTTCCCACTGAATGCTGTCATACAGATATATATTTATATATGTATATTTATGCATGTTTGTTTTTTATTTTTGGTAGAAAATGATGCATCCTGTTGCCAGCAGTAATCCGGCTTTCTGTGGGCCTGGCAAGCCTTCCTGCCTCAATGAAGATGCCATGAGAGCTGCTGATCAGTTTGACATATATTCCTCCCAGCAAAGCAAATATAGCCACACAGTCAGCCACAAACCAATGGTTTGTCAGAGGCAAGACCCATTAAATGAAACTCACTTGCAGACTACAAGTGGCAGAAGCATAGAGATAAAAGATGAACTAAAGAAAAAGAAAAATCTCAATCGATCTGGTAAGCGTGGCCGGCCTTCTGGAACCACCAAATCAGCAGGATACCGAACCAGCACAGGCAGACCCCTGGGAACCACCAAAGCAGCTGGATTTAAGACAAGTCCAGGCAGACCTTTGGGTACAACCAAAGCTGCGGGATACAAAGTCAGCCCAGGGAGACCTCCAGGTAGCATTAAAGCTCTATCCCGTCTTGCCGATCTTGGTTATGGCTGTGGCACTGCTGCTTTTCCTTACCCTATGATGCATGGCAGAGCAGTTCATGGGGTAGAGGAAACCAGCAGTGAAGTCAAGCCACCCAATGAGTGAATGAGGCAGGAAAGGAGGGCCAGGTTTAGAAGGAAGATTGTGAATCCTAAAGCTTCTTGGTTTCATTTTGACATACATGATTTTATGACCTGGGCTTCCCACATTTGTTTTCCTGTTTGTTTGTTTTTCCTGCTTTTGCTGAGAAACCACCATATGCTGACAGATGCACTCAGGGCATGAGCAGTGGCATTGAATTTGTACATAGGTCCAAGTGTAACACCTAACTAAATAATTTTTCCTTTTCCTTTAGAGTTATGGTTGTGTCTCATATTTCATTACTACTTTTGGGCCATTCTGAATAGATGCTTTATGTACTAAACAACTGAAACCATTATACCCATTAGTTTGTAAAGTAAGGCTACAATATAATAAACATAATATCTAAGGTATTTTTAACTGATGGAACAAAGCAAACTAATGATTCAGGATTATTTGAAGTATGGCTGTGAGTTTTTGTAACATTTATTGTCATGAACCAGGACACAGATATTTGTATGCTTTGGTATTTACATAGACTTCAGATGTTAAAAATTTTATTTTTAATAGGTTATAGGTTTAGGCAGCTTCTTATTTATTTATTGATCTAAATGGCATTAATTGATTTAACCATTGTTCCTAAAGGAATTATTTAGTGTTTGCCTTTCAGCAATGATAAGTTGTATATTTTTTAATTGCCTAACAGCATATATACCAAACACTACAAACAATTCATATTTACAAAAAAATTAAACTTTTTTATAAAAACACATTACATTTTTGGTGAAATACAATGCATTCTGAGAATAGCATATGTAATATAATAGAAAAAGAAACATTCTTAAGGTTTGCATGGAACTATATTCACTACATTTTGCCTTTTGTAGACTTAGTTGTTAAGCATTATGCTTAAAACATTTATTATTGTTCATTTATTCAGAATGTTTTTTAGTTTTAGGCTTTTTTTTTCTTTCTGAGAAATTGTCCATTGCATTAGCACTTACTATTGTTTCAGGTTTATATCTACCAAAGGACACAAACTGAATGGTAGGCTGTAAAACTGATATAAATAAAATGCAGTATTCTGACTGTCAGAACACAGATATTAAGAAATATCTAGGCATCTATCTATTCATGAAACATGTAAAATATATGTGGGTTGAGACCACTTCACCTAAAAGAAAATTTTTTCCAACAGTGTTTGCTTTAGAAGCAAGGTAGATGGAAAAGAAAAAAAGTATTGGGTAGATATTCATAGTAGGGACAGAAGGAAGTCTCTCTTGCCCCCTTTCTAAAAGTAAAATGTTAATATACATTTTATTTATTCTGAGTTTGGTCTGAATAAACTATTATAAACTTTGAATTTGAAAAAAATTCCACTGAATTTTAAAGTTACAATGTATGTATTTGTGATTTTAAATGCCTTTGAGATTAAAATACAGATTTGCAGGACCCAAAAACTTTTAAAGTAATTAAAAGTTTAAAAAGGCACATATTGTGTTGTTTGGGCTTGCTCTCAGTTAATACAAACTCTGATTGCAAATGGATGTCATGTTTCGTACCTTTTTTATCAGGAAAAAAGCAGCAAGCCTTCAGGTGTTCCAGTGATGCCTGACACAGTGAGGTGGACTTTATGCTGCTCTTTACAGTAAGAGGTGTTGCATTGTATGTGGGGACTGTGTGTGCACTGGCATCTAAGACAGTGACCTCAACAATTTTAGCTTTGCACAAACTATAGCTAACATATGTTGGATGACTACATAATCAGTTGCAGAATTCTGGCAGCTAAATTGCTACAAGAGTTTCTTCTTGCAGAAGCTTAAAATATAAAATTTTAATAATTTACTCAGAACAGTATAACTTCTGACACACACAAATGCTTACATCTTTATTCATATGTTTATCCACTTTTATTATCTGTCATTTAGCTATTTCTCAGATCAATGTTCAGCAGTTGGCTGCTTAGAAATCCTGTTTTGAGTTCCTGAAAACAGTTGTTTAATTAAATGTTCTACTGTAGAATGATACATACCACTGTCAAGGATTTGGTTGCATGTTGTGGTCTTTATATGTCCATTTGACATTGCCCTTTCAGATTATTTTGATTCCTGATTTTGTTATACATAACCTTTCCTTTCTCTCTGCCCTTTCCTACATTCATTCCCTCCCATTTTCCCCATCCTCCAGCACATCTACTCAGTGGTGCTGTGCTGTGTGTCAGAAGGTGTATTATTGTATACTGATTTACAGCAGGTGTATTATTGTATACTGATTTTTTTATACATGTTAATGAAATGGTGAAATTAACTAAAGAAAGTATGTTCATAACAGTGCTTATTAATATCTGGAGCTCTGTCCCAGGAAAAAAGGGGGACGAATGGCTACAGTTGTGAATGAATAACATCAGTTTAGAAAGCTGAATTTTCTGTTCATGTGAGCAGTAACATGGAGTATTAGATCTATGTGCTGGTGAGCATCTCCTGATTCTACTTTTTTCCTTGTGAACAGTTTATTGGTGCCATGCTGAAGAGAAAGACACATCTAAGTGATAACATGAAGTCTTAAAAAATAAAATATTTTTACTTCTCTATAGTCTAAAAACTACATTGTGCATCTTTTGTAACACTGTCTCTTGTCATGATAAACACTGAAATAGCATGTTAAATGCCTATACTTTAATATAATCAGTTGGGGAAAACTGGCCTTTTCTTCCCACTGTATGATTGTTCCTTTAAAGGTAAATTGCTAATTTTATATTGTGTAATTCTCTTCTTCACAAAATAGGTTTCACTATTCTATATTAAAACTGTTGGTCAGAAAATGATCTGCTGTTCAAGTAAGTTTGCTTTACTTTTTTCTTTAAAAAATATTTTAACATGCCTTATTTATTATTATTATTATATTAACCAATGAGCTAATGCAGATGAAATTTTCATTTTTGACACAAATATAACCTTGCATAACTAATCTTTAGTATGGGATGATTTTGATACTATCTTTGGAGTTTTGCACTGGATATTAAAAAATACTGGCACATTGTGTTGGAAGAAAACTATCTGCTTAATTTTTAATATTTGGGACATTTTTAAAGTCTGTTTCAGTTAGACTAAAAAAGTCTTTATATTTTTTATTTACTTTTTAAAAGAAAATCTGTTAAAGTAATAAAAGTAATATTCATTCCAAACTGATGTTTGTGTGAATTTACGTGTATATTTTCATGAAGTAAGAATAGAGTTTGAGTTAAGGAGGAAAAAAATTATCCATTTATTAGGTTAAAGGTAATCCATCCAGTGTTAGGAAAACCAGTGTGTGAGCTAAAGAGGGAAAAAAACCCACCTTCTCTAAGAAGCTTTAAAAGAACAATTCAGGGGATATTGACTATAACTGCTACTCTGTCAGTCATTGTCACTATATGCAGTAAAATTTTATGATCCCTTTATAGTAAAATAGAAGAATTCACAGCAGTTGTTGAAAACATTTTTTCCTTGGACATAAACTATTTTGATGCTATTAGGTTTCTGTTTTTATTATAGCTTAAGTATATCCTATTAAACTCTAGGATGTATCTAAATCTTTCCTTTGCTTTTCCTCTGTCACCCCCAAGTAGATAAATCTGTGCTCTCACATATAATGTATTTAATTTTTGGAAAACTTAATACTATAGTAAACCAAGTGTGTGATTTATAGTAATCAGACCACTTTGATGCTTTAAGTTTCACAGTTTCCTTTTTCCACAGATAATTACAGAGAAAATAATTACCAATTAATTGATATAAGCACGCTGTCCTCTGCTGTAAAAAGTCTGAATAGATACTGTGTATGTTTTTTATGTCCATGAACTTGAGCTACTCGTGTGCAATTATGTGTATGGGAATGGAGTAGTGTTCATGATTTGTATCTACATCATCATATGGATGTATATTTATTAATAAAGTCATTACTTTAAAACCAACTATGTTTACTACTTTATTTCTTTATGTAGGGGAATGGTAAATGATACACCTTTTTTATGACCATGGATCTTGTATTTTTCTTGGATTGTGCTTTCTGAAATCTCCTCTACACTTTTGTTTTTTTCAAAACAGTAATGTTTATGTATTTGTAATGTAAAATTTAACTTATAAATGGATCTTATTTTCTTTGCATTTTCTTATTTCTTGTCCTTTTGATAGTAGCCATTCTAACAGGTGTTGGGATTACTCTGAAATGTAGAGAATTTATTATTTAAGTAAAAAACTACTTTAATTAGTAATTTTCCTAAGCTTTCAACTAGCCTAATAAATTCAACAAACTTTAATAACTATTGAGCATGTACTCTACAGTGTAGCAGCTCACATACTGAATAAGAGTCTCCACCTTCAAGGAACCCATAGTGGAAAACAAATGCCTTAATATGTGGACCTTAAACAATGTAATGCCAGTTTTTATTCATTCAGAATTGACATTTTAACATGCTTTATCTCTCAAATTAGCTAATTAATTTTAGCACAGAGCCAGTGAAACTGCAGCCCATCTGACTAGTCCTAAGCTTTAGGCTAGTTTTTAGATGAATTTCACAAGAAAAACTGATTATTGTGCTTATTCTCTATAAGCTCAGAAGTATCAAGTCAGAGATCATTCATAAATTGTGATAATGCTGGCTTTTAAATCATGGTGGGAGCTACTTATGTGGCTGTTGTGCTTCCTCTGTCACATAAAGAAATAAGAACTACAGCCCGGCCGGACGTGGCTCAGCAGTTGAGCTTTGACCTAGGATCCAGGCGATCAGCGTTCGATTCCTGGTCAGGGCACATGCCCGGGTTGTGGGCTTGATCCTCAGTCGGGGGTGTGCAGGAGGCAGCCCATCAATGACTCTCTTATCATTGATCTCTCTCTCTCTCTCTCTCTCTCCTCTCTCTCTGAAATCAATAAAGATGTATTTAAAAAAAATAAAATAAAAAGATCATTCTTAAAAAAATAAGAACTACATAGTGTTATGCATCCTCAGTATGTCATGCGCAGAATGGCTGATGACTGAAACTGATTATGATTGATTTGAGTAACTATAGGACTGTCACAAAAACACCTTCCACCCCCAAAAAAACAACTTTGTAAAAATTCTGTTTATTTTGGAAATTTCATACATATAAAAAATTTACTAAATATAGAGTATAATGGCCCTCCATGTGACCGTCACCAAGCTTTAGTAATTAAAAATTCAAGATCTCTTTTTTTTGGTCTATATTCCCATCTACAGTTTGCCCCCCTCAAAAATAATAATTTTAATGTTCATATATATATTTTTTATTTTAGAGAGAGAGGAAGAGGGGGAAACATTGATCAGTTGCCTCCTGTACATACCCCATCTGGGAATCAAACCCAAACCTTTTGGTGTACAAGTTGATGCTCCAACCAACTGAGCTACCCAGCAGAGCCCTCTCAATTATTTTGAAGCAAAATTTTCTAAATCATATATCATCCTAAAATATTTTAATACATATATGTAAAACTAGACTTTCTAAAACATAAGCATACCATTATTAAACTTTTTAAAAGAATAATTCCTAAGTGTAATCAAGTACACAGTTTTAAAACTGTCCTAATTATCCCATAACTGTCTTAATTGTCCCATAATTGTAAAAAAGTTTAGTTTTCTTTAGTTAAGTTTACATATCAAAAAATCTCACCCATTGTATATACACAGTTCATTGTATTTTGCATGGTGACCAATTTATACCCCACTGAATTACCTGGGCATGTTTATTAAAAATCAACTGACCATAATGTGTAGGTGTAGATCTGGACTTTTTTGTCTATCTCATTGATCTATGTGCCAGTGCTACACTGTCGTGATTTCTGTAGCTTTATAGTAAGTCTTACTTTGTTTTTATCCCCTTCAAAATTGTTTTGTTTCAGCCTTTGTATTTCCATATAGATTTCTGGGTAAGTTTGTCAATTTCTACAAGTATTGCTGCAATTTTGTTAGGGATTGTATTATATTTACAGATCAGTTTGGAGAGATGTGCCATCAAATTCCAATCCATGATCATGGTATATCTTTGTCTGTTTAGGTCTTACTTGATTTCAATCAGCAATGTTATAGTTTTCAGTGTACAGAGCTTGCAATTCTTATGTTAAATTATTCCTAAGTGTTTTATTTTTTTTAAAAAAGTATGTTTTTATTTATTTTAGAGAGAGTGAAAGGGGGAGAGAGAGAGAAACATCGATGTGAGAGAGAAATGTCATGGCTGCCTCTGCATGCACCCTTACTGGACTGGGGATCGAACCTGAGACCTGGGCATGTGCCCTGACCGTGAAAGGAACCTGAGGCCTTTTTTTTTTTTTTTAATATATCTTTATTGATTTCAGAGAGAGGAAGGGAAAAGGAGATAGGGAGAGAGATAGAAACTTCAATGATGAGAGAGTTGTCATTGATCAGCTGCCTCCTGCACGTCCCTGACTGGGAATTAAGCCCGCAACCTGGGCATGTGCCTTGACTGGAAATTGAACTGCCATCTCCTGGATCCTAGGTCGACGCTCAACCACTGAGCTACACCCCGTTGGGCCTGAGACCTTTCAGTGCAGGTTGACCGCTCAACCAGCTGAGCCTCACTGGACGGGGCCTTAAGTAGTTTACTGTTTTTGATGATATTGTGAATGCAATTACTTTATTTCACTTTGGTATTGTTTGTTGCGAGTATATAGAAATACAGTCCATTTTTGTCTGTTGATCTTGTAATTGGCAACCTTGCTAAAATCACTTATTCTGGTAGTTTTTTGGGTAGTTGCCATAGATCTTTTAGGTACAAGATCATATCATCTAACTATCCAGACTATACACCTTTATTTTTCTTTATTGCTTATTGCACTGGCTAGAACTGTCAATACAGTAAACCCTTGATTTTGTGGACCTCAATTTAACGGACTTTGGATTTAACAGACAAAATTTCTGGTCCATATGTCATATGTAAAAAGTAACACTCTGTTAATTTAAAAATGCTTTTAACCAAGATTTGCTTATAATTAAATTAACAGGTTACATTTTTTTTGTTATTCATTGTTATTTTTAACAAATTTTAGCAAATAGGCCATATTTTGGAAAATACACTGGCGTGATTTTGCTGACGTAAATAAATACTGCATATCTATAACTATAGTCTACATATTTAAATCCAAGAGTCATCTAACAATGTTAGATGAATGAGTAATACGTGACCACACTGCATTGTGCCCAGTAATTGGTTCTGTTGTCTCCTGGCGGGACTTTCTACAGCAGTTTTAATGCGTGCAGGTGTCGTTCCCCTGTGCACTAAGCCACGCCTCAACAGTGCATTTGTTCACTTGTGGTAACTGGTGCATGCAAGCATTTACTAGAGCTATTAAATATAAATTAAAAATTACAGTAATACATATAGAAAACTTTTCTATGAAGTTAAACTTTTCATTCATAATTTTAATTACACAGACGTGTCTACATAAGTAAAAACAGGGAATTTGTCAATTTTTTAACATGTATTTGGAAAACCTAATTTATTATATAATGACTTGCAGCTTTACTGACACCCCCTCACCTGAATTAGTCCATCATATTGAGGTTTTACTGTAGAATGGTAAATAGAAATAGTCAAAATGGACATCATTGCCTTTTTCCTGATGTTAGGGGAGAACATTAAGTCTTTCATTATTAAGTATGATGTTAGATACATGTTTATGATAGATGCCCTTTAACAGATTGAGGAAGTTTTCTTTTGATCTTAGTCTTCTCAAAGTTTTTTTAAAATTTAATTTTTTAATTAAAAAAATTACCTTTATTGTTGAAAGTATTACAGATGTCCCCTTATTTCCCCCATTAATCCTCTCCACCCTGCATCCACCCCACCCCTAGTACTTTCCCATACTATTGTCTGTGTCCATTTTTAAAAAAAAATCATGAATGAGTGTTGGATTTTGAGACACCCTCATAGACACACCCAGAAATCATGTTTTACCAGCTATTCCTTTAGCCCAGTCAAATTTACACATAAAATTATCCATCACTTCAGCCTTTGATAATCTTGGCCTAGCTTCTTTATTTCATTAGGAGCTGCAAAATGGCAATTTTTAACTCTATTGTTTCTTTATCTATTAGGTCAAATATTTCTATACTAAAAACTTTCCCCTCATCAAATATTTATTTACCCTTAAATAATCCTTGTCAGGCACATAAATGCCTGATTATTTCCTTTTACTTACCAGTTTTCTGAATAATGAGTTGGTTCTCCAGCATCTTCTGAAGGTGGTTAGTTAAGAAAAATTTTTTTTGTAACAGTATGTACTCATGGATTCTAACGTGATGTATCTGGCTATTGAAATTATTCATTTTTATGCTCAAATTGTTGCATCTTTGGCTTCTTAATCATTTTGACATAACCCTAGTATGACAAGATGTTACGGACTCACAAAAAAGGTCTTCTGATTTAGCAAAGCAATTTAGGGAAGCAGTGTGCTCCGCCTTGAATTTTAGGGTGTATGGGGTTTAGAAGAATGTCCTCCAGTTTCTTAAATTGCTATTTTACAAAATACAGAAACCATTTGAAAGGATCTGCAATGACACATTAAACATTTTTTTTTTTTTGCCTTGGCCAGTGTGGCTGTTGGTTGGAATGTCGTCCACCCACCAAAAGGTCGCAAGTTCCGTTTCCTGTCAGGGCTCATACCTAGGTTGTGGGTTCGGTCCCCAGCTGGGTGCCTACGGGAGGGCAGCAACCAATCGATGTTTCTCTCTCACATCTCTTCGTCTTTCTTCCTTCCTCTCTCTCTAAAAAATCAATAAAAAACACATCCTCAGGTAAGGATTAAAAAATTTATTTTTTTTGTAAACAAAGGATATTTAAAGAAAGACAGGTGGGCTAAGGAAGGAAAGCAAAGAAAACAAAAAGGCACAGGTTCGAAGTGCTGTGTCCAGTCAGCTCTGTTCCTAGTAAACTGGTTCTA